TGTACTTTTCTTTCTTTTTTACCTTGGTGATGCCCATTGCTTTTTCCCAGATCTGTATGCATAGGCATCTGTCAGTCCATATATTGTAGGCAAAGAATCTGATTTTTCGTATAATGTTTTCTGTGGCTTCAGAATCCTTGTTGGCTAGTATGTATTGGCTGACTGTTCTGATAATTTGTTTGCTAATTCCCCCTCTGATGAAAATGTTCCAGAGGTTGTTGATCTTCAGGTGGTCCTCTATTTCTTTTTTTGCCTAGTGGGGAATTCCTTTTTAGTACGTGCTGTGATCTCTATATATATTACAGATATTATTATGTTGTTTATGTCGAGGCCTTGGTGTGGACATTTGAAGATATGGATATTGTCTTCAGTTTCTACACATGTGAAATATGTGGGTGATTTGTAGAGGTCTGGCCTGTGGGTGTAAAGTTTGTCCATAGTGGGAAGTTCAAGGTTCTAAAGTTTGATTGCGAACTATCTGCTACTATGATCAAAGATGTCTGTTCAAGGACCTGTAATCTTGAGGAGTGGAGGCATCGTGTTGAGGCTTCCCAGTCAATGTCAAGTTTTTGGTTTGTGATGTTTGTGTTATTTCTTTGAAGGTTGATCCATTTGTGTGATAGTGTTGCTTGTTTCATTTTTTTTAGAGTTTTACAAATTATGTTTGTGGTTTCACAGTCCTTGTTATAGAAATATGCAATGATCTGATTGTTGAGGTGATTTTGTAAGAGAGTGTTGGTGTTGGTTGTAAGTTTGAGACTGTTCTTGACCAGCTTATCTGCTTTTCCTAGGTTTTCATTATCATTATATTTCTTGTTTACTTTGGTTCAGGTGGCTTTGATTTGAGCTGACTGAATGCACTCATGTAGGTTGTGGATAAGTCTTGTTTCCATGATATTTTTTATCTGTCTTTTGGCTGCTTTGCCAAGTTCTGTTATGAGCATTGCAGAGTCAGTGTAAAAGTGTGCTGTTTGTCCATGGGGTAGTATGCAGATAGCTATGGTTGCAACTATGATTTCTGCTCTGTAGGCAGAGCTTTGACCTGTTATCTTGAGGTTGAAAGTGTGTTCAGTTTTATTTGAGGAGAATATGATTCCAGTACCCATTATTATGTTGTTATTGTGATCGAATGCACTGTCTATTGTTATTGTGATTGTGTCCTGTGTTTTAATGTTCTTGTATATGTTGGTGAGTTGTAAGAGTGTAGTATCTGTGATATTTATTAGGTGTCGAAGGTTATTAAGGGGTCATGGTGTTGTGTCTATTTCAACTCATCTATATTCTGGTTGGGTTCGTTGATCCAGCGTTGTATACTATTTGGTGAGACTTGAATTCTGAGTTGTGATTTGTTTAAGTTTTCTGAATTTGTTTTTGTGGTTCTAAGAACGGGGATCTTAGTTGCTAAGTTCATTCAAACCTTGAAGCAGTACATATTACCTCTGTTATCAATATGCTCATTGAGTTCACAGCCTGGGCACTTGTCAACTGGCGAGGTATCTGTCATTGTGTAGTGGCGAAGTTTTATGTGATCCCTATTTTTGCTGAGCTGCTTACCTAGAATAAGGTCTTGACTGTGTTTGGTTATGTACAGGATTGTAATGACTTGTTGGCTTGTGTATCCTTGTTCTTTTTCTCATATTACTGTTCATTAGCTGTGCCTTTGGGTTGAGTTTATTTTGGATAAGGTGTCTGTTTATAAGCATTTGAACTTCTGTTTTGAGGGTTGTGAAGAAGATTGGTTGTTTTCTTTTGTTCATTTTGTTGTGCAGTGCCCCTACTTGATGCAAGTTTAGGCTTTTGTGCAGTAGGTGTTAAGAATTTGTTCGACCCATATGATTATATGTGTACGAAGTTCTTTCCTGTTGTTGTCATACCATTCTTCTGGCATGAAGTCTTCGATGTGTGTAAGGTCAGTTCTGTTGTTTCTAGTTGTGTGTCGCTGAAGTGAAATATTTTGGTATTGTATACTGTGAAGAATGTCCTGGAGGAAGTTAGTTTTTGTTGCAAGTATCTTGGGGTATTTGATGAGGATGTCTTCTTTTTGCCATGCCCTCTATTGTAGTTGTTGGGAGTGGAGTCATGTGGTCTGGCCTGCAAGGTTGTGGGTAAAGTAAAGGTCTTGAAAGTCACTGCTATGTTTTTTGAGTTGTCATATTTCTAATTTCATGATATTGTACTGATTGTTGAGGTGGGTGATAGGTGTTGGGGCAGTAGTTGCGAGTTGGGTGTGCCGCCAGAAGCTGTTTCTGATTTTTCGATCTATCCACTTAGTTTCATTTTTTGTGAGTACTAAATCTGTTAGCAGGTAATTGATTGTTGGGAAAAGGATATGGTTGGTAATATAGTTGTGCATTTTATCAGTCATTTGCTTTCTGTTCATGGTGTTGCATATGTTGGTTACTTTTCTTTTTATTAGGTTGCGCTAGTATTTCTTTCCTGGCTTTCCTTCATGTCAGATTCCAAGGACATATATTGCTTGTGTGTTCAGAAGTGAGTTGATTTCATGTTCCTGAAAAAAGATACTTTCTTGAGGGCCATTTACAATTAGAAGTTCAGATTTAGATGGGTTAACTGTGATTTGGTTAAGAAGATAGAAGGATGCACTGACTTCTATGATGTCTTCGAGTTGATCATTGCTTTGCACTATGAATGTTGTATTATCCATATATGCCACTACTGAGATATTGAGTTTGGTAGGACTGCTGTTGTTTAGGTTTGGTCGATGACTGTTTAGTTGATATCTTTTCAAGAAGCTGATTACTATTATGAGGGGGTTATAGTATATGTACCAGAGTATTGGTGAGATTGTGTCTTCTTGATCAATTCCTCCCTCGACTGGGTATGGATTGGTTAGACCAAAGTATGTTATCACTTTGTTGGAATGGTTGATAAAGCAGTTGTTGATAATATTGATAAGCTTGGAAGGGACTTTGATTCTTTGGAGGGATGTATTAAGTCTTTGTAAGTTTACTGTGTCAAATGATTTACTCATATCCTGTAAGAGCATGTGGTTTGTTTTTTTTGTTCTCGTGTGTCTTCAAGGATTTGGTTGATAATAGTGATTGGTTCTTGGATACTGTTTTTGAGAAGTGCGGCCCAGTTGTTCTCAGACAGAATGGAATGGTTGGTCATGATTTTGATCAGTCTGTTGTTGATTGATTTGGTAAAAATTTTTTTGATGGATTCGAGTAGCATGATTGGGTGGGTTATGATGATTCGTGCTGCCAATCTTTAGATTTAGGTATGGGGTATATCGTGCCTTCTTTCTATTCTTTAGGTATTTCTTTGTATTTAAGGATATTGTTGAAAAGTTTGGTGATAGTGTCAAGAGCCTCTTTACTTAAGTATTTAAAGGCCAGATATGGGATATTTAAGGGGCCAGGGGCAGACTTGTTGCTGGTTTCTTTGATTACTGCTTGTATTTCTGCTGGAGTGAATGGGGTGAGTGCTGGTTCATACCATTTTTCTTCAATTTGTGGAATTGGTTGGTATATTTGCTGCCATGTGATTCCTTTATAATTATAAACCTATTTACTTTTGGTCCAATTTTGAAAGTGAGCCCGAACTGTCACTTTTATTTCATTTGGATCATGTACTAGTATTTTTTCATTACCCTCAGTTTTGATGAGTTTTGTTGTGATTATACTTTTCTTTGTATTGTCTAGGATTGACCTTATCATTCTTTTTTTGTCAATGTCGAACTATAAAAATTGTCTTTGGGTGGCCTGGTTAATGTTTCTCTTAGTTTGCTCTTTTATGTCTAGCTTTGTTTTCTTTGTTTCAATATAAATTAAATCATTTATCTTGTTAAGTATGGGTGTTACTTCAAGGTCTGAGGACCAGGGTGTTATGAGGATAGTTTCTTTGATGGCTTTGTGTAGGTTGGTTAGTCTCGTTCTGTCTAGTTCTATAATTTTGCCTCTTTTTCAGACGTGAAGGGTGATTAAGGCTCTTTATTGTTTTAGCTGGATGAGTAGTAAGGGTTTTGATGTTTGGATATGATTCAGTCGCTATTTATGTCTCTCTTTGAATTTTGGGATGTGTTTGTTGGTGGCATTTAGTATTATTTGTCTGAGTAGGTTCCATGCTTTGTTAGTGTCTGAAGGGTGTTGCACTATTGTATTATTGAGTTTATTGGTGTGCATGTCAATTTCATTTGAGAAGGTCTTCTATTGTTTGTCTGATATTTTGTTCCAAAGGAGTCGAGTGTTCTTATGGAGTCTCCTTTTATGTTTGATGTTCGCTTCAAGTTGCCAAGTTTCAAGGTATGTCACTTGTGTCTTGTGATCAATAGTTATATTAGTGTTTGTTGTGATATATAAGTCTATAGAGCACTATGTAGGTCGTGTATTGATCTAGATCATATTGATTTAGCTAGCAGCTGATTTAAAGTGTCAAGTGAATTCAGTTCTATGTGGATTGTGGTTGTTCACAGAAGGGATTGGTTTTGTCTTTGTGAATTTTCTTATTGCTGTTGATTTATCTATTTTCTTGTATGGACATATGTTAAAGTCCACGCCAATGATTATGTACCAGTTTGCATAGTTGTGATGTTTGAGCCATTTTATTATTTGGTTTTGAATGTTGTTTCTGTCTTTTCCAGAGCTGGTGAGGGAGTAGACTCCAATTATCCTGTAGTAGAGTTTGTTAGGTAGTGCGATATCTATACATATGGCTCTTCCTTGATAGCATTGTATTTCAGTGACCTGGTCGGAGAGGGGTTTTTTGATTGCAATTCTGATTCCATGGCCGGTAGTTTTGTCATCTTCTCCCTCCCATCAGGTTGAGTAGTTTGAGGTCTTCCAGTGTTGTGACTGAGTTTGGTCCCATTTGTTTCGGTGGATATTACTATGTCCCAATCATTGAGCTGCCATGTTGTGAATCAAGTTTCTCTTTTGAGTGGGTCATTGAGTTCTCTACAGTTTAGAGTTGTTATTGACAAGAAGGGTTTGAGAGGATGGTTATTTAAGTTGGTGGTGCTAGTAGTGTATAATTCCTTGGTTGGGTTGGTTTGGATCTTGTTTTGTATGTCTGAGAGGTTTTGTATTGTTAGAAGTTGTTGGATGTTGTTTACTGGATGTGTATTGTTTAATGTGTAGCTATGAAAGTCTAGGTATTTGAGGTGTGATCGTTGTTTTCTGTGATGTGTGTGCTATTTTTTTTAGCAGTTTTTGGAGTTGCAGGTTCGGATATATTTTGATTATTGGTGTTACTGTTATTGTTATCCATGATTATTGAGGAGCAGAGTGTAGTTGTCTTGTGTTACCTGGGAGGATATTTGAAATTGTGGATACGAGAGTGTTCATGGTTCAGTCCATATTGCTTATCAATCGGTGAAGTTATTGTTGTTGTTGTTGGATATCATTGATATCTTCAGGATCTGTGCTTGGGAATTCATGTTGTGTGTGTTCTGAGGTGTTAAGTTCAGTTATGTCTTCGGTATTGGCATAACAATATCTTTCAAGATTGTCAATTCTTTTATCGAGACTGGTGAGTGATTTCTTGATTGTCAGGATTTCATCCCGGATTGTGTGAAGTGTGGAGAGGATGTCGTCTGTTGAGTCTGGGTTATAGTTTTCTTCTTGATGGATTTTATTTGCATTTTTTGCAGCTCCGGCATATGAACCTGGCCTGGTGGTTTTGTTTGTGGTGGATGTATATGTCAACTTGTGAATGTGTACGGATCTGGCAGGTTTATAATGGTTGTATAGTTTCCCAAATTTGTTGGCTTATTTTTGATTGTATTCATTCCACTATTCTCTTCATTCTTTGATGGTACAGTTTGCTACAAAATGCTCTAAGCTATTGCAGATAGTGCATAACTTTGTGTCAATTGGTTTGCAGGTTAAGACGGTTTTGCCAAGATTGAAGGATGAGTTTAGTGCTTGTTGGAGATGTTGTTCATTATCAAAACTGAGGACTGCATATTTCCTGGTCTGTATGACATGAGGCAGGGTATGTAGCAGGTTTTAGTTTGGAGAGTATGGCATATATGTTTGAGATCAAAAGCATGGGTTCTGGGTGGGAGATTGATTAATTTCAGAGAGAGATTGCTTCTATTTTTCATTTGTGTTAGGTCCCAGGTTGCATTAAAGATCCTTACTGAGTCAGCTTTGATGAGTGTGCTCCAGAGTTTTACGGTCTTATGTTTGTCTTCTAAATCGGCAAATGTGATGATGATAGACTACCACATCTGTTGTGTTGTCATCTTGATATTGGTAATCTGTCTGAACTTGGCAAATGTTTGTTGAACATCTATGAATTTTGTACTCAAGGTGATGTTTCACACTCTGATACTCTTTTCCTTATTGAGTCTACTGATTGATTTGGGGAGTGTTGATAGTATGGTATTGCATGATTCAGTGAGAGTAATGTGGCTGGCCTCTTCTGCTGATTGTCTATCACTGAAAATGGTAATAATGTGATTGGTTTCATCTATATATTCATTTTGAATTGTGAGTAGTCCTTCAAGAGAGTTGAGTGCCTTGGTAAGGAAGATGATTTTTTTCACTATAGAATCTCCTAGGAGGTTATCAGCTTTAATGCTGAGCTTGATTCGCTCTCTACCATATCTTGTGTCTCTATCAAAAGGAGAACGAGGTCTTGGGCGGGTTCCTTATATTGTTGTGTTGTTCCTGTGCTTGCCATGTATCTGCCAGTCTTGTTCTTCCTGGAGAGAAGTACTGTCATCAAGGTCTATCTCTGTGTCAAAGTCGTCGATTCTGTTGAGTTTTCTCTTGTCAGTTGCTACTTCCATGCCCTTGGGGGTTGAGATTTCTTCTGGTTTTTGTTGTGTCTTTGGTTGGGAGTTTCGTTCCTCCTCAACTTGTTTACTCCATGTGTGTTGTGAATTTGCATTGTTAAAAATGTTTGTCTTTTCTGAAGGTGTGTTAGTGTCTTGCATAGCTGTTTGAAAGGTACTTGAGGTGAAGGGAGTTGTAAACTTGTGTATGTCGGCTTGTTCTATGCTGGGTTTCTTGTTGATTTGTTGTTGTTTTATTTGCTGATGGGGCTGGCCTTGCCCTTGGTGAGCTTGTTAATATTATAGCCTTGCCCTTGGTGAGCTTGTCGATGTTATAATTAGGCCTGGTATACATGTATTGCGTTCTTTTTGGTCTCTCCATTTCAACTTTTACTTTCATTTCTATGGTTTATACTACTGCACCACAGGAAAACAGGAAAGAGTTGTCTGTGTATTATAAGAGATATTTTCTGTGATACAGGTTTCTTGAACTATCACTTTAATTATTTCTGCTTCTGCCTGCTTTGTTATAGTCCTGTCTTCTATTTCAACTTCTTTAATCAGTATGATTTCTTCAGTTTCTATAGAAGTTGATTAAATATCTATTGGAATATTATCTATTTTTATAGTTTCTTTTATACTATAACTTGAGATGTGATTTCTTGTTTTGTTTATTAACATATTATATATTTTTTATTCAAGCATAGAAGTTTCTGGATCTTGTCTCTTGTCTTTTTCCTTTTTCTACAAAATAATAATATATTTTCTTAATATATAGTATATTCTTTTATCAAAGTTAAAGAATCTATATTTTATAGAGTAGCAATGATGTTTTCTAATATTGAAGTTGTGTGGATTGCTTCTACTAAGATATGTAATTGATTTCCTGTCTTGTACTTTAGCTTATATTGAATTGTTTTTGTCTTTCATAGTTCTTGTTAAGAATTATACCTAGTAGTGATATTTCCTGATATACTTAAAATTTCTTTCTCATGTCTTTTCATAATTCTGTTAATGTTTTGCTCTTTTTGTCTCATATTATCATATGAAATAAATAAATTATTACATATATTGTATTATTTTGATATTTTGTTGTTTTTCTGCACAGTAATCTATAAATAAGGAACTATATTATATATTATATAATCAAATAATATTTGCAATATAATGTTTATTTATATGTTTTGATTTTGTGTATCAGTTTTATTTATTTGCATGTATATTACTTGTTTACTGATTGTAATGCAGTTAGATTGATACATGTTATTATTTTAAAATATATTAATATATTATAAGTTATTATTTTATCATGTTTGGATTTATTTACTTTTACATATTCAAGTTTAAATAATGTGAACTAATAGATCAATTGTTATAATTATTTGTTACTGATCTTTATGTTTTGACTTAAAAAACCTAAACGTTCTTCTAGGTTTTTGAGTTCTGAATTTGAACTAATTTATCAATTTGGATTATTGTTTTTGAAATCTTTCCTAGTGCCTAAAAAGGTGTTACCTTGCATTGTCCTGACTAAGAGCTTTGTGAAGTTGATATTGGGTCTCAAAAAATCTATCATGAATCAGTTTATCTTTGTTTTATCTTTTTTTCAAAACAATTTAAAAGTATAAGAATTTTGATACTAACTAGCATTGTCCTTTTATTATTATAGGAGTCAACTGTATATTATATAAAGAGGAGTTATTGTTATTGCTATCATTTCTCGAGGTTATTTCTTATGAGAAGGTTTTTTTTTTAGAAAATTATTATAAGAGAAAATTTTCTAAAAATTTAAGAATCAGTAGAGGTTTATATATATTGTATATTATTTTAAGCAAAATATATAAATTATATAATTGCTAAATATTTAATATATATAATAATTTTAAGAATACTTATCAAGTTTATATTGATTAAACTAAATTATAGATATTATTATTTAAATTATTAATTCCTATAATATTGAAAATAATATATTTATTATCAATAATTTTATAATTAAATTAATTAAGAATCTTATAAATATGTATAAAATAATGCATTAAATAAGTAAATAAATATTATTATTATTCAATATTTAATAAAATTTTTGAATATTCATATCTTTTTCTTTATTAAATAATTTACTTGATTTTATAATCTTATAATTCAAGATTTATTAATATATTCAGAAAATTTTTTAAACTATTTCCTATCTGCAATTATTACAGTAAAATATAAATTAAAAAAAAAATATGAATTAAAAATATTATGAATAAAAAAATTTTTAAAAAAAGTTTAATACCTAGTAAAATAAATTGAATACTTTTTTATAATATAATTTACTATTATTCAAAAATAAAAAAATATAACAAATAATTTAATTTAAATTAAAGAGTTTTATGAGACGTGAATGATTTATTTTTTAAAAAGAATATAACTATTTGTATTTGACAACTTCGATCGTTTATTTGAAAACTTAACTCAAATACACATAATATAAATTTTGAATAATCTTAAATATAGTTTAGAATACAATAATAATTTTGATAATAATATCATATATTAAACAAAAAATTGATTATTTTTTTATATTATGTAATTATTGAACTAATACAATATATAATATAACTTATATACAGTATATATTTAATTCGATTTTTATTTATTTTTATTGTATTTATTTTTTTAATAATTATAGATAAAAATGTAATTGTGACTCTAATAAAGATAACATTGTTGTTTAAACTAAACATTTTCTTGTTTTTGACTTTATGCAAATATTTATCAATTTATATAACCTTATGATATATGTAGTAAGTAAATTTAATTTAAATATTTTTTTAAATTAATATTTCAAAGTAAAATAATTATGTTATCGATCGTCGATCTTATAGGTAAGTTTTCACATGCATATTTTCTAAATTTGTTTGAAAATTCTGAAGAAAAATGATTTAACTATAACATCTTTATGATATTGCAGATGGTAAGTTTATGCAAGCATAATTTTAAATTGTTTCGAAATTCATACGAAAAGTGCTTTAACTATGTTATCGATCGTCGATCTTATAGGTAAGTTTTCACAAGCATATTTTCTAAATTTGTTTCGCAAATTCTGAAGAAAAATGATTTAACTATATTATTTTTATGATATTGCAGATGGTAAGTTTATGAAAGCATATTTTCTAAATTCATACGAAAGTGCTTTAACTCTGTTATCGATCGTCGATCTTATAGGTAAGTTTTCACATGCATAATTTCTAAATTTGTTTCGCAAATTCTGAAGAAAAATAATTTAACTATATTATCTATTGTCGACTTATAGACTGTAAGTTTATGTGAGCATATTTTAAATTAGTTCGAAATTTACACGAAAAGTGCTTTAACTCTGTTATTTACCGTCGATCTTATAGGTAAGTTTTCACACGCATATTTTCTAAATTTGTTTGCAAATTCTGAATAAAAATAATTTTATTATATTATCTATTGTCAATTTATAGACTGTAAGTTTATGTGAGCATATTTCAAATTGTTCGAAATTCTAACGAAAGTGCTTTAACTATGTTATCGATCGTCAATCTTATAGGTAAGTTTTCACAAGCATATTTTCTAATTTTGTTTCGCAAATTCTGAAAAAAAATGATTTAACTAAATTATCTTTATGATATTGCAGATCGTAAGTTTGTGCAAGTATATTTTAAATTGTTTCGAAATTCATACGAAAAGGGCTTTAACTATGTTATCAATTGTCGATCTTATAGGTAAGTTTTCACAAGCATATTTCTAAATTTGTTCGCAAATTTTGAAGAAAAATGATTTAACTATATTATCTATTGTCAAAATATAGACTGTAAGTTTATGCAAGCATATTATCAAATTGGTTTGAAATTCTTACGAAAAGTGCTTTATAGTCGATCTTATAGGCAAGTTTTTAAAAGCATATTTTCTAAATTTGTTTCACAAATTCTGAATAAAAATGATTTAATTATATTATATATTGTCGACTTATAGACTGTAAGTTTATGCAAGCATATTTTCAAATTGTTTTGAAATTCATACGAAAAGTTCTTTGACTATGTTATCGATCGTCGATCTTTTAGGCAAGTTTTCACAAGCATATTTCTAAATTTTTTGTTAAATTTGACGAAATTATTTAACCATATTATCATATAGGGAGTAAGTTTATGCAAGCATATTTTCAAATGTTTTGAAATTCATATGAAAAGTGATTTAACTATGTTATCGATCATCAATCTTATAGGTAAGTTTTCAAAACAAATTTTCTAAATTTGTTTCGCAAATTCTGAAGAAAAATTATTAAACTATATTATTATGTAGTGAGTACGTTTATGCAAGCATATTTTTAAATTGCTGACGAAAATGCTTTAACTAATTTATCGATCGTCGATCTTATAGCTAAGTTTTCACAAGCATATTTTCTAAACTTGTTTCGCAAATTATGAAGAAAAATGATTTACTATATTATCATATAGTGAGTAAGTTTATGCAAGCATATTTTCAAATTGTTTCGAAATTCTTTCGAAAAGTGCTTTAACTATGTTATCGATCGTCGATATTATAGGTAAGTTTTCGCAAGCATATTTTCTAAATTTGTTTCGCAAATTCCGAAGAAAAATGATTTAATTATACAGTATTATCATATAGTGGGTAAGTTTATGCAAGCATATTTTCAAATTGTTTAGAAATTCTTACGAAAAGTGCTTTAACTATGTTATCGAACGTCAATCTTATAGGTAAGTTTTTACAAGCATATTTTCTAAATTTGTTTCGCAAATTCTGAAGAAAAATGATTTAACTATATTATTTTTATGATATTGCAGATGGTAAGTTTATGCAAGCATATTTTCAAATTGTTTCTCAATTCTTACGAAAAGTGCATTAACTATGTTATCGATCGTCGATCTTATAGGTAAGTTTACACAAGTATATTTCTAAATTTGTTTCGCAAATTATGAAGAAAAATGATTTAACTATATTAACTATTATCGACTTATAGTCTGTAAGATTATGCAAGCATATTTTCAAATTGTTTCGAATTCTTACGAAAAGTGCTTTAACTATGTTATTGATCGTCGATCTTATAGGTAAGTTTTCACAAGCATATTTTCTAA